GACTGGTTTAGCGAGAAAGCACCCAACTCCATCGGCGTTGGCTCGGAGCTTGTGTACCTCTCGGCTATGTTCTCGATGGCTGTCATGCAAAAGAGGGTCTTGGTGACCAAGGCGTATCACGGTGCAAATCACTCGGGATGTTTGGGTATAATATCATTTCATCTTGAGGTTGAGAATTTTGTTTGTGATCTTATAGGATTCGATCATACAAGATTGTCTTGTTATTTCGTTCCTGAGGCTTCGAGTGAATGCATTGCCCGGGCTTTGGAGCTTTCTTCGCGAAAGGAATCTTGGGATCAAGGCCTTCTTATAGATTTTGATTATAATCATGGATGGTTTGTTCCAAGGTTCGTAGTATTTTAAAGTTGCTACTTCAATGTTTTCCTCTTTCCTGCTGTGAAGGTTGTGGGGCGAGCCTTGGAAAAGAATCCAACCATCTGTGGAACTCAATGGGATTTTCATGCAAGATGTTAATGGTAACAACGAAAGAAGGTGGTGGAGGGCTCAGGTTTATTAACAACTTAAAATTTCATTAATTTATACTAAAAGTATGTTTCAGGTGTTTCGATATCTCATGCGTTTCCCGAGCGAGTATCTTTGCAATCTACTAAACGTAGCCCGGAATGAGGCATTTGGAGAGGCAGCAGCAAGATTGATACTAAAGAATTATCCCCAAGGCAATTGGAACTCTAACAATCATAGCTCTCATAGTGAGAGTCCCATGGAAGCAAATGTTTGGAGCAGCTATGGACCATGGATTCCACGGCCTTTAGTGAGCATTCACGTGAGGCAAGGAGATAAAAACATCGATATGAAAGTCCACCCCTTTAAAGACTACATGAAACTCGCCACCAGGCTGCGCAAGAAATTCCCACATATAACTGGTGTGTGGCTTTCAACAGAAATGCAGGTAAAAAGTATCTGTTTCCTTATTGCATTTTTTTTTTTCATTTTGTTTTTCTAGAGTGTAATTGACGAAAGCAAGGAGTATGAAGGATGGAACTTTTTCTTCACAGATATAAAGAGACAAGTTGGAGCAACACGCATGGCCGAGTACATGGCTTCACTGGGAAAGAGGAAAAATTTTGAGAATAGTTATGTCAATCTCTTGATGGCTGCTGACTGTGATTTCTTTGTTGGGGTTTTGGGGTCAACTTGGAGCTATGCCATTGATTGCTTGAGGATGACCAGTGGAAAAGTCAAGGCTGGCTTCCTCACGGTCAACCCCGTAAATATGTTTCTGCGCTAATTCAAAGAAGAAAACCAAGAGAAAAAACAATCCCACTCACAAGAGCTTCTTCAATAGCACTAGCCCAGGGATGATTACTGGGAAAGTTGTTCGCTTCCAATCTTGTGTGAGAGAGCTTGTCAGGAGAAAAGTTCGCCAGCTATGATCATGCTACAGCAGCTATGATAGTACGCCAGTTCTCAAGTGCTATAGCCGCACAATAGCAAGATCAATAACCAAAGCTCAAAAATATAAAGCATAAACTTAGTTATGGAATTTTAACACTAGGAAAGCCATCCTGTTCCTAGATAGCTCCCATCCTGTGAACAATCTCCACTGTCAACATTCTTATTGATTTGTGATTGTTAGTGACTATACTGGCCCTGGTGTGTGGAGCAAAAGAAGACGTCTGGGTGCGTCTTGCGTGCCATTTCCATGGTGGACATCAAAGTCGATGATTAAAACTCGCTTGAGGCCGCTAGTGCACTGTGCATGTCTAGCTGTGATGACCGCATTGCCAAAAACGCAGAATCCCATGGGGCCTGCCGGGACTGCGTGGTGGCCTGAAGGTCGGATCAAAGCAAATCCAATTGGGGGCCTTGGACCAGACACACTCATCTGGAAAAAAACGAAGAAAAAACATTCTCAGGTAGGAGTTACGCAAAAGAGCCTATGGATTAGTAGAGAAGTCGACCACCACTGCAAGCATGGATTCTTCGTATGTCTTTCAAGCATTGTTAAAAGCTTGTAGCAAGTATAAAGGAACTTGAAACTGTTTGCAAATACCGTGGATCTATAATAATAAGGAGTTGCTAAACTTTCTGGGCTGCTAAATTGACAAAATGTGGAGTAACTTGGTCAATATCAGTTTTTTATTGCAGTGGGTGTGCAATACGTGGGGGAGGAGGTGGTTTATTTGTGCAGCCCAAGAGGGAAAAACTCTCCTTTTACCACAGCTCCTCTTGCAGCTAGGGAAATTTTCTTTGCTAGAGATGGAGGCCCAAGAGTTTGTGCTGCTGCTCACATTGAAAGCTAGTTGGGAAGCTTGAGTGTTAGTGTGATACTCATGGTGAAACCAGCCCCCCCCTCGCCCCCCTCTCCCCCGCCCACCCTATCATTTTGGGCTTTTACCCTTTGACCTGTATTAATATTTGGAGTCATACTCAGTCTTAGTCTTCGGTTTTCAGTCTTGGACTTAGTTTCAATCTTTATTTCAGACTCCATCTCATACTCTATTTCGGATTTCATCTTAGACTCTATTTCAAACTCAATGTTGTGTGTATGCTGTGTCTAGGGTTTTATCCATCCCATTTTTCACAAAAGTTCTTGCTTCTGTATTTAGGGCTAGATTAGCAATGGAGCACCATGGCTGGTGCTTATAGAACTAGAGAGCTTGCTTAGATCTCTCATATGCTGCACAAGAATTTTCTATTCATCTTTGTAGGATGCCTCAGTTAAGAATAGGTAAGATCTTTCCGTTCTTGCAAAGGAAATTCAATTTTCAAGTTCTACACTCGGTTTTAACATGTGAGAAGCTGGCTCTTGCAGTAATACATATTGCCATGGTAGAGTAATTGCAATTGAAGGCATAGTGATGACTTTCAACTCTTGATTTTGTGCAAATGCCTCTTGGTTGGCTGTGAGACTGATAGTCGAGCCATAGTCACTAGAGTAGTTCCTAGTGAGAAATTCTTTGTCTCTTTCTATGATTACAATTTTCTTATATAAAACACTAACCATATAGCAATAACCAAGGTTAAAATAGAGACATTGAGGATTACAATTATATGCCTTTGCTAGTAACTAAATTTGGGTGTTTTACATGTTTCTTCAAGTATATGTCCTTTATATGATGCCAATAGCAACACATTTTAAGCATGGTGAGGTGCTAGAAATCTAGATGGCTTCTTTTGAAATTTTTTCCCCATAAAACTCTTAATGTATTTGTCTTTTGGCTCAAATTTGAAGTTTTTCAAAGACTTCACTTTGCCAACCCACCAACATTTTCTAATCTATAATAATGAGGAGTGTTAAAGAAATAACCTTTTGACAGTTACCCTTCCATTTGACAATTGGAAGGGTAACTGCCATTGATTGAATTCATGTCTTTGCTGAAATATTTTGATAAAGTTTTGTTTAGGCAATTAGCTATCTGACACAACTTGCATGCCCTTTGGCTATTGTGAGAAAAAAAGTAAAATTGATTGTGTATGCATATCAAATTGGGAAATTGGTGCTTCCTCCCTCAATTTCAATTGTATAAGGCTCTAGATTTTTTAATGAATTCATTTGAATTCAGCTATATAGACATGTTGGCTTTGTGAAGAGAGTGGTTAACAAAGCTGGTGATCACATGCATATGTTAATCTCTATATGAACTTAAAATCAATGTTAGAACTACTGGATATTGCTTGGTAGTGGGACAGTAAATAAGATTGCTAACTCCAGCCAAAATAATATCCAGTCTTAAGTGAGCTGGGGTGTGCTGCTATTGTACTTGCTTTTCCCAATTGCCTCATATTTAGCTAAATCCATGAATAACAACACCATATTTTCTCAAGAGGACCTGTTATGACACAATTTTGTATCAGCACTTCAAGGAGGGAGAAAGATATGTATATACTTCTTTTTTTCAACCTTTGGCTAAACTCTTTTACTTCTTCAACTTGAACTCAATGTTCAATTTGCAATTATGCAAGTATGCAATTTGCAAGTATGCCTTGGCTTTGCAAAGTATTGAGAGGCATATATCACCAGGTCACTAGTTGCTTCTAACTATTGACACTAGCATATGTATTTATACTCATAATAACCTTGAATGTGCTAATGAAAAAACTAATTTAGACCTTGAACATGCAAAAATTACTTCAGACCTTGAGGATACTAATATAAATATAGAATATGCTAATGAAGTGCATACAAATATAGACCTTGAAAATGCATAAAAGAAATACAATTGCATATATAATACATTTATTTAATATTGAAAATAATATTGGAAATATGGGTTTATTACATTTTGAAAATGAGTTAAACTCAATGTGAAAAAGGTTTGCCTTCCCTAACTTTCATCTTTACCTCATATGATTTTTAATGAAAATTATAGACTTGAACTTTAAAATTAACATAATAAATTTTAATAGTGCTTTATGTTGATAATTTAAATAGTAAAGGCTCATTACATAGTCAATAATTGTATGAAGAAGTAATGTTTTCATTTAAAACCATAAAAAAACACTATAAATACACTATTATGAGCACTATTATAAAAAACATTAGAAAACATTTTTAAACTTTATACAACAAAATAATATTCCAAACTAGTTTGTCATGTAGTTAAATTTTGAAAACCCTGCATCTGTATGAGCCTAAATCCCACTCACATAATTTGTGATGTGTGTGCCAACAATTGCTGCCTTGCTAAACCGTGGCTGTCATTGCCATGCTTGCTGTGGTTGCTACTCCTCACCCTCCTGTGCCTTGCTGTGGCAGCTGTGGCCTCTCCTGTGCCATGCAATTATGCCATGGCTCAAAACATGGCAAATTGCTTAGGTTCAACCAAAAGTGGTAAGTAGCTCTAAAAAAAAACTGGTAGAGCTTTTTTTATATCACCCAGGACCTAACAAAGAGATCATGCAGTTGACTAATGCGAAGATGATGATTTAGTAGATACCAAACATGTTCAGCATTAAATTTCTCACGTTCCATGAGCACATGGAACGTAATTAAAGTATTCTTTTTTACAGCCTGTAAAATACCAAAATCATTTGAGGCCGTCCGACATAGGTGAAGTTCATCCCATGGAGAAATCTTTGTGGTGCAAGTTCTTGTGGATTGTCGCAGTGTTTCTACTGATTTTTCTTTGGATCGTCTACCCAAGTGATAGATGCGTGCTCAATTTCTCCACTGGGGCGGTCAACTTTAGCAAAACGCATCAAGAAAGAGTGAGAGATCTGGTGAATATTTGGAGCGAGACCCTGTATGGAGTGATGAACAAGAGCGCCAATCTAGATCTCGATTCACTCTCTTATGCTCCTCACATCCAAGATTGCAAAAGGTCTGGTGAATTGCATGCTAAGTTGGATGGTCGTGGAGAGAATGGGAAATGGCCCCCTTGGAGCCTGTCCCAGGGATCAAACCTTGATAGCAGCGAGGTGGAGATTATAATGGATCAAATGTTCTACATCAACAATACAGTTCCCAGTCTCAACATTCCTTGGGTATATAAATCTATTGATGGTTCTAACTTTAAAACTTTCTTTTTCCTAGATTCTTGGTGGTGATGAGGAGAATCTCCCATTGACAAGGCTTGTCCAGCATGATTTGTGGCTGAATCAACACCCCAAAGATTGCAGCAATGCAAGGTTTCTCATGGCAGACTGGTTTAGCCAGCAAACACCCACCTCCATCGGTGTTGGCTCGGAGCTTGTATTTCTCTCGGCTATGTTCTCGATGGCTGTCATGCAAAAGAGGGTGTTGGTGACCAAGGCATATCACGGGGCAAATCATTCGGGATGTTTGGGTAATAATCTTGAGGTTTAGAATCTTTTACAATTCTTATCATATAGGATTGGATCATGCGAGATGGTCTTGCTATTTCGTTCCTGAGGCTTCGAGTGAATGTATTGCCCGGGCTTTGGAGCTTTCCTCGCAAAAGGAACCTTGGGATCAAGGCCTTCTTGTAAATTTTGATCATAATCACGGGTGGACTGTCCCAAGGTTTGTAGCAAAGTTGATATAATCGAAATCACAGTGTCTTCCTCTTTCCTGCTGTGAAGATTGTGGGGTGAGCCTTGGAAAAGAATCGAACCATCAGTGGAACTCGATGGGGTTCTTATGGCAGATGTCAATGGTAACAACGAAAGAAGGTGGTGGAGAGCTCAGGTTTATTAGATTTAATTAACTCAAAATTCTCATTAATTTATACTAATAAGTATGTTTCAGGTGTTCCGATATCTCATGCGTTTTCGGAGCGAGTATCTTTGCAATCTACTAAACGTAGCCCGGAATGAGGCATTTGGAGAGGCAGCAGCAAGATTGATACTAAAGAATTACCCACAAGGCAATTGGAACTCTAACAATCATAGCTCTCATAGTGAGAGTCCCATGGAAGCAAATCTTTGGAGCAGCTATGGACCATGGATTCCACGGCCTTTAGTGAGCATTCACGTGAGACAAGGAGATAAAAACATCGATATGGAAGTCCATCCCTTTAAAGACTACATGAAGCTCGCCATGAGGCTGCGCAAGAAATTCCCACACATAAACCGTGTGTGGCTTTCAACAGAAATGCAGGTAACAAATGCTTTATTTCTTTCTCAGATACTTATTTATATTATTTTTCTTTCTCATTTATATTTTGCTAGAATGTAATTGATGAAAGCAAGGAGTATGAAGGCTGGAATTTTTTCTTCACTGATATAAAGAGACAGGTTGGAGCAACACGCATGGCCGAGTACATGGCTTCACTGGGAAAGAGGAAAAATTTTGAGAATAGTTATGTCAATCTCTTGATGGCTGCTGACTGTGATTTCTTTGTGGGAGTTTTGGGGTCAACTTGGAGCTATGCCATTGACTGCTTGAGGATGACCAGCGGAAAAGTCAAGGCTGGCTTCCTCACAGTCAACCCCGTGAATTACTTGCTGCGATAACTTTATTTGTCACTTGAAAGAAGAAAAACCAGGAGAAAAATCAGCCCCGCTCACAAGAGCTTCTTCAATAGCGCTGGGAGCCAAGGTATGATCAGTGGAAAAGTTCTGGTCGATTTCTTCGCTTCCAATCCTGTGTGATGCACAGAGAGAGAGAGCTTCTCAGCATAAAAGTTCGAATTTTTTCTAAGTTTTTACCTCTGATCAGTGTACATTGATAGATTCACCATTGTTGAACTTGAGTCTCGAAGATCTGGAGGCTGCAGCGAGTCTCGCGTTTGTTGTGGGTGCAGAGGAGATGCAGCTATGCCCCTCTCATTCAGCAAGCTTCTGAAGAATTCAAGCCTGGGAGCAGCATTTTCAGGACCCAAACTTGTGACTTTGGATGGGCTCCAAAGCCTCTCTAAACCAAAAAAACAAAAAAACAAAAAGCATAATAATCAGACAAGAACAAGATAGAAAACATGTAGAGAAAGCTTGCCTGCAGCTGCTGCTGCTCTTGGCCATATTTTTTGCTGGATATTGCTTGCATCAACTTGTTCACCCCACATACAAACTTCGCCTCCAATAATAAGCTCCTGTTCAATTTCGCTGGTGATGTTATCGAATGGCTCCTTGGAGTAAAACTTCTCCCATGGTATCTCAATGTGATCCAAATACCACGAAGATTGCTCGCTGACTATGCACTTGAGGCCCGACTCGACAACATCGGGAGCGATTTGAGGCCCCCACCTGATTATAGGATGTCCTTCAAAGGTGAGAGGAAATGTGTCAAAGAAGTATTTACCAGTTGTGGACAATTGTCTTCCTTGACAAACTTTGTCCAAATTTTTCAAATGGTTCTTGCCTGTAAAAGGAGCACGAGATAATGCGATCGAAGATCAAAAGCATGTTACCAGTTGACGGGAACATAACCATGTTTCATGGCCAGCTTTTGGACTTGGAGTACAAAAAACTCGTACGCTTCTGCTGCTGTAAAATTATGCTCTACAAGCCTGATTTTCAAAGAGTTGATAAACTATAAACTTCAAGTAGGATACCAGTTATTTGTGGGCCTCGCAATTTGCCAGCAGCCTGTTTAACACCATATAAGAAAAAAAACTAAAAACTTGAGGATGGTTTTTGCTTACTTGTGTCGACTTCGTCTCCGCCGATATGCAAAAGCTCGAATGGAAAAACCTTTGAAAGATCTATATAACATCGAGTTTACAAGGATTGCAACCCATAATCAAAGAAGATCATACCAGAAAATATGCCATCTATCACCTCAAAGGTGAACTCTTGGCTGATATCCAATGGTGTTGTGCAGCTTTCAGAAGGCCATAGCTCAGGATATCCAACTCCCCTACGCTTGAAAAATCATAAAAACGCATGATAACTTTAATCTGGAGAGAGAACAAGCTTACCATGAGCGAGCGTGTCCAGGAACATCAATCTCTGGCATGACATGCACACCTCTCAATCGAGCGTACCTGTAAGAGCAATCAAATGCACAGGTTGATCGTTTTCTTTTTGAAAGTATGGCTTACTCGACTATTGCTTTTGCATCATCGAGGTTGTAGCGCTGAGTGATTGAGAAGGAGCCTTTCCAAAGCTCTGGAAAAGATGGAATCTCCAAAGGGAAGGATTCCTCGTCGACAACATGCCAGTGCAAAACATTCTGGAAAGGAAGAAAAGAAGAGCTCAGATTTGATCGATAGAGATCAAACTCACGAGCTTCGCATAGGCCATGGAGTCGATCACATTCTCGATCGTCTTTAGTGGTAAGTAGTGTCGAGCAGTATCTGGTAAGAGAAAAAGAATGAATTTACGTCAAGAACAACAAGACAACCACAGAAAAACTGAAACTTTACCAATCAGAAGCCCTCTATAAGAAAATCTGGGCTCATCGAGAATGTCCCACGGACAGTCCTGTACAAGAATCTCTCTCGCGAGAACATCGTAGCTGCAAATCTGGCTAAAGGTCTAGAAAAAAAAGGAGACAAATGAATAGAGCCATCCCACACACATTTTTTTTGGTCTTACCTCGAGTCCTCGTAGAGCTCCATAAACAGTTCTTGCCTGGAATGAATGGAACGCAAGAAAATCAGGCGATAAGCCTCACGATCTTTCCTTACCTGGAGCAATGCGGCCTTGGAATTCAGAGGATCAGGGATTTGGAGGCGGTAGGATTCATCCACGCCAAGATGGAGCTGCCGAAAAACTCATCACAAACACCCTAGACAAATAGTAAAGTCACTCACGCTTTGGTTGAACGACTTAAGATCGATGCAAAGTTCGTCAAGAACAAACTTCGCTGGATCAATCTTTGCTGGAGTTTTCAGCTTCCGCTGCCTGAGAATCAGTGAGGTATAGCGATCAATTCCTGCTTGCAAGACTTCCAGATTTTCCCGAGCCGCTGATGAAAAACTTATAGAAAATTGCCTGGACAGTGTCATCAGAATGGAGCCTTGGGAGAGATTTCTTGGAGCTGGCCAGATGAGAACGCTAGTGTTGCTGCTGTGATCATCCCAATTTGTCAAAGTGATTGAAGAGGCAACATGCCAGAAAGAAGACTTGCTACTTTTGCTCCAGTAAGTGTTGGTAACAATTGATGAGAGTATGACAGCTATAATTCCTATCACAAAAATCTTCCTCAATCTTTTGCTGCTCCACAACATTGTCGCGTTTTTGTGGTACTTGTGTTCCTGCCAAACTTAAAGGTTGAGTGCTCGTTTTGGAAAAGTCCATCAAGAAGATTCCTTTTTAGTGATATGGTTCGTTGACAATGTTTCATTGGGATTATTAAATTGAAAGCTGGCTATTGCTGACACTTTGGCAAACATCTAACATGAAAAGAATATACATAATAATCAGTTTATTAAAAAACTTGTGTTTGTAATTACAGTTTAGTCTTAATCCTATCTCAAGCAACAGCACTCTTCCTTTGATCAAAATCGCTGTTGAAGAATCGATCTTTCTTGAGAACGCAGTGCCTGGGCTCATAGATCTCTCCGAGAGCTCTTCGCTGATGCCACGCATTCTGCAAAAGGCTGCCAAATTGGCAACATGCAAACGTGAATCAATTCTTTCGTCACCAAGTGGTAGAAATAAACCTCGCTGGAGCTGCGAGTGCTTCCGTGAGATCGAGAAGAGCACTGGATATCTCTCATGAGACGAAAATTCGGCTTCTTGTGATTTCTTGTTTCGCAGTATATAGTTCAATCCATTTCAAGAGCTAGATCAAAAATTGAGAGAAGAGAGTATCCAGCGATGGCGGCACATCTCTCTTGCATCGCCTACATTGCGCGTCCCAGGATCTTGGCAACAGGCGGCGATGCGTGGAGTCTACAATCCGTCGCAGCTTGTCCGAGCATTCCCGGAGTTTCACTCTTGGACGCTGGCGATGGCTCCTCCTTTCTCGTCACTCGCGCTGTCGGCACCACCTCCAAGCTCCTCGTCGCGCGGGAGATGAGAAACTTGGAGGTCATTGGCTACGATCTTGTAAGTTTCTTTCTTTCGCGCTTTCTTTAGATCCCTCCGGATCGAGGCGATCAAGATCTTTTCTCTCATCTTCCAAACGATTCTTGGATCCAGGTTGCGAGCGCTCTCAACGGTCTCGTCGCGAGTGGACCAAAGCCGAGCTTCTTTTCCCACACCGATGCTATGGGGGACAACGAACGAGAGATGGATGAGCTTTTCTCCGGGATCACAAGCGCATGCATCGCCGGATTGCCCCATCAACCGCGGAAGTGGAGTAATTTTCAAGAACTTCGCTGCTCTAGTATGATCATCTCTAACACGACTAAATGTTTCACAGAAGAAAACTCCGCGCGGAGTTCTTGCCGGCATGGCCTTGGGCGAAGTTCGCAAGGAACTCTTGCTCGATGGACGTGGGATCCAAGCCGGGGACTGGCTCATCGGCCTCGAGACCCAAGCGCTCCACTCCCAGAAGTTTGGAAGCGTCCTCAGGTGATAAAACTCTCGCTCGATCAATGGACTTTTGTTCTTTACACTGAGAATCTCCTGCATCGATCGATCAGCCTCGCAAAGGAGCATGGACGACTCAAGAGCGTCGGCAAGGCCATCCTCACTCTACCTCGCATTTACGTATCCACTGTAAGTTAGAACACTCTAAGAAACGTTAAAAGATCTTACTTGGATCATCTATCTAGGTGCTTGATCTGATCGCCAAGAAGAAAATCAAGGCTGCCGCGCACATATCCTCCGCGGGGATCACGGATGCCATCGCCAAACTTCTGGGACCTCGCGAGTTTGGCGCGAGCATACGAAGGCTCGGCTCCTGGCCACTCCCGCCAGTGCTCGTGTGGATCAAAGAGGTAGAGTTTCTCGAGTCATATTTTGATCTGATCGTTTGCTCCAAGCAGACCGGGGATTTGAGCGACGAAGAAATGCTGGCAGCCTTCAACATGGGACTGGAAATGGTGCTCGTTTGCGACAGTGCTCGCGGCTATGAAGTCGTGGATGTCGTTCGCGGCGCTCATCACATTGGCAGTGTGATCGCTGGCAGTGGAATCATCATAGACAAGCTGCGCAACTAGAGCTCTCTTCCTATATTCGATTCCACACGCGATATATAGAAGTTTTTAAAGAAGTTTTTGGGGTTTTAGCACACTAGCTAGGGTTTATGCGAAGCATGGAGAGCTTCCAGTCGATCGCGTCGCTCCCGCCGCTTGCCCGCGTTGATCCTGCCGCTGGATTCAGCCGCCGCAAGGAATGGCGCCTCCCAGCGCTCACGTACAAAGACGCCGGGGTCGACATTGACGCTGGATCGGAGCTCGTCCGGAGGATCGCGGCCAAGGCGCCGGGGATTGGAGGATTTGGGGGATTATACTCTGTTGGTATGTTCTTTGTGGCATTTCCTTGTGATGGAATGATTTTCTTGGGACAATCTAGGTGAGGATTCTTACGAGGTTGTCGGGACGGATGGAGTTGGGACAAAGCTCAAGCTTGCGTTTGAGATGAATGCTCACGACACGATTGGCATCGACTTGGTACGTAGATTTCTTTAGAGTTTTTTGGGAGCTTTGAATAGCTTTCGTTTCCAGGTTGCCATGAATGTGAACGATATTGTCACCACTGGAGCAAGGCCGATGTATTTCCTGGACCAGTTCTCTACTGGTCATTTAGACACGGAGATCGCAGAAAAGGTACGAGTGATCGATGTCATTCATTGATTTATTTTTGCGTAGGCGATCAGAGGTATTCTCGAAGGCTGCAATCAAGGTGGCTGCAAGCTTTCTGGAGGAAAGGTACGAAGATAGTTACTGATCACCGATTGTTTTCTCTTTCCTTGTTTCTAAAAGGTAAATTGAAGGTGGTGGAAAATGCGGGCTTGTATCCAGATGGAGTGCTGTACGAGATGAGTGGCTGTGCCGTCGGCAGCTTGAACAAGAACGCATTGATCGACGGCAGTAAAATTGTGTCAGGAGATGTTCTCGTCGGTTTGCCGTCGACGGGGCTTCACTCCAATGGCTACTCTCTGGCTCGCAGGTTTGCACTCGATTTTCCGCTCACCAATAAGACTGTCAAAAATTTTCTCTTTTGGTTTTCCGTTTAGAATACTAAGCATGTCAAATTTGTCTCTGAAAGACCAGCTTCCGGGAGCAGATGTAACCATTGGAGAGGCTTTGATTGTTCCAACAAAAATTTATGTCAAACAGGTACAAGAAGAATGTCGTAATGCTCTTTTTTAATCTTTTGTTTTCTTCTTTTTTCACTGTGTAGGTTCTGGACATAATTTCTAGAGTCGAAGTGAAGGGCATGGCTCACATTACCGGAGGGGGACTGACTGACAACTTACCAAGGATTTTTCCTGCCGGTCTTGGCGCAAAGATCAGAATGGGTTCCTGGCATGTTCCCCAAATATTTAACTGGCTCAAGGACGTAAGCGATGACTTTAGAAAGCTAATCTCTTGACGTTTTGTTTTTAAAGGCTGGTAATGTGGAAGAAGAGGAAATGCTTCGTACGTTCAACATGGGAATAGGAATGGTTCTCGTGGTGGAGCCTCGTGTTGCGGATAAAATTCTTGAAGAATACGCACCGTCTTATCTTATTGGAACGGTTATCCAAGGAAAAGGCGTGGTGTATGATCGTTTGAGCACTGGCTTGTCTGATCTATGCAAAGGCCCTGGAGTCACTAATGAGGGTGTCGCAACTCTCGACGCTGATTCGCAACAGGAGCTTCTGCAAAGACTTGCAGGACAGCCTCCTCGTCTCTACCCGATTGGTAAATAATCTTCTGCTATTTACACTGACCTCTAGTTTTCATCTGGTAGGCGATGAATTCTCAGTTAGCAGAGCCGAACGAGTCGATGAGAAATTGCAGTTGGCTCTCGAGATGCAAGTTCACAACACTATTGGCATCGATCTGGTAGTGTTTGTTCTGGATTCCGCGTTTACACGATTAATTCAATTTTCTTGGCAGGTTGCGGTAAACGTTAATAGTATTGTGACTACTGGAGCAACTCCCGTGAGTTTTGTGGACTATTTCTCCACCGGCCATTTAGACGTGGACGTAGCAGAACAGGTTGAACAAGTTTTGCTTGTTAAAACTACTGGAAAACCGAATGCTTTGCTGACTGTTCAGGTTATCGAGGGAATTGTTCAAGGCTGTATTCAGGCGGAGTGCGGCTTGCGAGGAGGGGAAGTACGTCAGCTGTTTCTGACTTGCGAATGGCGAGCTAAATCTCTTTTACAGACGGCAGAAATGCAAGGCTTTCACGCCGAGGGAGAGTACATGCTGAATGCCTACGCATCCGGTAGAGTAAAGCAAAGTGCTCTAATCGACGGCAGCACCATCGCAGCCGGAGATATCCTGCTCGGGCTGCTCTCCAGTGGCATTCACTCGCATGGATTTTCTATGGTTGACAGGCAAGGACAAGCTCTCATATCTTTATAAGCTCTAATTCTCTTTTGTTGGCTAGCATCTTGAAGAATGCGAATGTATCTTTGAAGGACAAGCTCCCGGGCTCTGAAGTCACGATCGGGGAAAGCTTGCTCGTGCCAACCAAGATTTATGTGAAGCAGGTTCAGATGGCTCTTCTTCAGTTCTCATTAGAAAAGAATAACTAACTTTTTTCTCATTTTGCAGGTGCTGGAAATGATCTCTTGCAGCGGAGTGAAGGGAATTTCCAACGTTACGGAAGGCGGACTCACTGGCAGCATACAAAAAATTCTACCATCGGGATTGGGGGCGACTGTCAGAACGAGTTCATGGGAAGTTCCTCGCATATTCAAGTGGCTGCAAGAGGTACACTCCAATGGGTTTTGCTTTGCTGTCCCTTGATGCTTGCCGCCTCTGGAGCAGGCGGGAGGCATGGAACCGGAGAAAGCTTTCGGAACCTTTAACATGGGAGTAGGCATGGTTTTGGTGCTGGATCCCTGCGCCGTAAAGAAAATCCTTTCCACAAACAAGGAGTGCGTTGTCATGGGCGAAATCGTGCAGGGCGCCCGAGTGGTGTACGAATAATAATCGGTAAGCTTGATACATTTCACTCCGGAGCTGACAAAGTTTCGCCTCACCTGTGCTGTGATCTTGTCTCTCACCTCTGCATAGATCTCTCGGCAATCCAACTCGTTAAACCAGAGGCAAGGAAAGAGATTCGTGATCGGCGTGTGCTTCCTGATGATCACACAGTTTTCAGGAACGTCACTCACCAGGAGGAGCGGTTGTACGGGACGAGACTATCACGGTGGCTCTCCTCTAATGATCGCGTCAAGTTCATGGCCATCTTGTCAATTTCTTCAAAATCTGGATGAGATCAACCATTAGTTGCACCTTCCCGTCGATCCAGATCGAGAACTTTGGAACGAGCCTGTCACGATTGTCCTGGAGCATACATGGAGATCCTCCACACTCCCATGTCCTCGTCTTCCTCCATGTATCGCTTTCAAGGTTGGCTTATTGCGAAGCAAACGATCTTGTCGTACAATGATTCCTTTGAGATCAAAGAATCCATCAAAGTTCCGTGTGCCAAGAAATAAAAACTTGGTCTCTACCTAAAATCTAGCGGTAAACAGGAAAGATTATGGTTGAGTTAGGTAAACACAATAGGCGTGGGTCACTCATGAATGATTATCCAGTCATTTAATCAAAATTGATTGTTTGAACAGATATTCATAGTGTTGAGTGTGGAGAATCTGGAGGCTTGGACGAGCCTTCTTCTTTTGATTTCACTGGAGAAGCAGCTATTCCTCTTTCATTCAGCAGGATTCTGAAAAATTCAAGCCTAGGAGCAGCATTTTTGGGACCCAAATCTGTGACAGTAAATGGGCTCCAAAGCCTCTCTGGCCAAAATAAAAATTGTTAGCCAAGAAAAATATATCAAACAACTAGAGTGAAGCTAGCTTGCCTGCCGCCGCTGCCGCCCTTGGCCATATTCTTTGTTGGATATTGGCTGCATCAACTTTCTCACCCCACATACAAACCTCACCTCCAATAATCAACTGCTGTTCTTTGTGGCTGGAAATGTTATCATATGGTTCCTTTGAATAAAACTCCTGCCATGGTATATCAATGTGATCCAGGTACCATGAAAATTGCTCGCTAACTATACTCTTGAGACCCGAGCTGACAGTGTTGGGAGGAATTTGAGTGCCCCACCTGAATAGCCATTTGAACAATCTGAGTTAGAGAGACAACCCCTTTTGATAAGTTACCAGTTGTGAACAATCGTTTTCCTTGACAAACTTGGTCCAAATTTTTCAAATGGTTCTTGCCTAGAGAGAGCAAAACTTAATGGAATCCGACATGGCTAATCTCCTTACCAGTTGACAGGAAGGTATCCATGCTTCAAGGCCAGTTTTTGCACTTCAAGCACAAAAAACTCGTAGCCCAGTGAAGGTGTTAAATTGTGCTTTCTCAGCCTGCTTCAGACAGTTGGATGTTTAGTAAAACCGAATCTAACGTACCAGTCATTTACAGGTTGTGTGATTTCCCAGCATCCTGTTAGCAGAAAATAAGCTGACAATCACCAAGAAAATTTGCTGCTTACTAGTGTTAACTTCGTCTCCTCCTATATGAAGCAGCTCAAATGGAAACACCTTTGAGAGATCTAGGCAGCATAGAGTTGACACAAGGATTTTTGATTCAATATAAAACATGTTCATACCGGAAAAAATGCCATCTATCACCTCAAAAGTGAAATTCTTACTGATGTCCAGAGGTGTTTTGCAGTTTTCAGAGGGCCATAGCTCAGGATATCCAACTCCCCTACACGCAAGTAAATCTATTAATTTACAATGAAGGCAGAAGAAGTTTACCATGAGCGAGCGTGGCCTGGGACATCAATCTCTGGCATGACATGTATACCTCGCAATCGAGCATACCTGTATAATAACAAAAGCATGGATATTTGTACTCTCTTTGAAGGTATAGCTTACTTGACTATCGCTTTTGCATCATCAAGGTTGTAGCGCTGAGAGATAGAGTAGGAGCCTTTCCAAAGCTCTGGAAACGATGGAATCTCCAAAGGGAAGGACTCCTCGTCGACAACATGCCAGTGCAAGACATTCTGGAGGCAAAGAAGTTAGAAAGGGGCTCGGCTCATATATAAGGGATAGAGAAATTGGATCTCACAAGCTTCGCGTAGGCCATGGAGTCGATCACATTCTCTATCGTCTTTAATGGCAAGTAGTGCCGAGCAGTATCTGGTAAGCGAGTGAAAAATAATTAGAAGCCGTTCTAAAGAAAAAAAGTTCCTCACCAATCAAAAGGCCTCGATATGAAAATCTAGGCTCGTCAAAAATGTTCCATGGGCAGCCTTGCAAAAGCACAGCTCTTTCGACAGCATCGTAAGTGCAAATCTGGCTAAAAGTCTATAAAAAATGTAAATAGTTTAGCAAATCCAAAACTTTTGTTTTCAAGCCTACCTCGAGTCCTCGTAGGGCCCCATAGACAGTTCTTGCCTTGGATGAGCATAGAAAGGAGGTGAACCAGCGCTCGACTTCAAAGATTTTGCTTACCTGGAGCAATACTACCCTTGAATTTGAAGGGTCGGGGACTTGGAGGCGGTACGATTCATCTACACCAAGATAGAGCTGCCAAAACACAGAAAGAGAACCTAGAAAAATAAGTTAAAATTTTTGTCTCTCTCACGCTTTGGTTGAATGACTTGAGCTCGATACGAAGTTCGTCCAAAACAAAATCTGGTGGATTCTTTTTCGCTGGAATCCTTAGCTTTCTCTGCTTGAGAATCAATACCGTGTAGCGATCAATCCCTGCTTGCAAGACTTTTAAAGTTCTGGGAGGAGTTATGGCAAACTTTGTGGACAGTCTCATGGAAATCGATCCCTTGGAGACGTTTTTGGGGGCTGGCCATATGAAAACTCCTGTGCTGTTGTGATCATCCCAGTGCACCAAAGACCTTGAAGGGCCAACATGCCAGAAAGAATCAACACTACTCTTACTCCACAAAATGTTAGCGATTATTATGAATAAAAGCACAAGAGCTATAACCCCAATCACAAAAATCTTCCTCAGTCCATTGCTCCCAAACATAGTTTTGGAGTATGGTAAGCTCGACTGACATTCAAACTCATCTTAAGCTTTCTAGTCTGTACCCTTGGATGGAGGAGATCGGACGGCCCTTATCTTTGCTAGATTTACAAGAAACCGATTTTGGAGTTTTCACTTGTACAGACTGTAAAAATTAGTATTTTACGTTACATGTGGCGCACGCACTTGGTATAATCAGACAGCTATTCTTCTTTACTGTTGTTTTGTTGCTGGAAGAACGAGAAATCTAGTGTTAGCACGTTCGTGAATTTACTTCCACAAAAAAATCTCCATCATGGTCACATTAGTCAACTTTACTATAGGATCATGATCTCTGTTAGGTGCTTGTCTAATTTCTCAAAAGGATGAAAGGAAATCTCCAGTGTCCGAAGGATTCCCTGAAATGGCTCCTGTTTTGGATCTTGTCCTTGAACTTGGTTGTTTTGATTAGTTTCAGAATGAACTGGATGAAACAGGATCGCCAAGAGGCTAGTGTAACACCAACACCCGCACCAAGATCAATTAATTCCTCGACCTCGGCTGCGTCGAGCAGAGTAAAACTCCTGGTCGACCTGTGGAGCAGCGATCTGCAGTCGAGAGTGAGCGGTGCAACTCCTCCCGAGGTGACGATCAATGCACCGCACATCCAGGATTGCAAGCGATGCAGCCAGGAGACAGCAGAGTTTGATCGCAGGAAGGATCCATCCTGGAAGGGATTTGACCAGCAAAAAGAGGAGCTTGACATGAATTCAGAGACAAGCATCAGCACCGTTCCATGGGTAAGTTCTCTTGTAAGGTTCTTCTCAGATCGGGTAATCTTTCTTGTTTTCTTGGTTTTCTCAGTAGCCTTTTGCTGCTCTTGGACAGGTCATTAGCGGTGATGACGATAATATCCCGTTAACGCGACGCGTCCAGCGTGATATTTGGTTGCACCAACACCCGAAAAACTGTACCGATGCGAGATTTCTTCTCGCACTTTGGCACCACGACGAGACGCGCGACTCGGTAGGAGTTGGATCCGACATGGTGTCAATGGCCGGAATGCTTGGAGCTGCGCTACTACAAGGCCGGGTTTTCATTACCAAGGATTACCACGGTGCCAGGCACAAAGGATGCACAGGTTTCAAAACTCTTTTATCGACTATCTCGGGCTGATGTTTTAAAATAATGCTAGGATCCAACCACGCTCGCTGGTCGTGCTACTTTTTTCCCGAGGCTTCTGAGGAGTGCATGGAAAGGGCATTGCGGCTTGTTGAGCAAAAACAGGCCTGGGACGAGGGAATTATCAAAGAGTTTAGTGGCGATCAATGGAATGGTGAGATTCCAAGGTGAGAGAAAAGAGTTTTTTTCATACGGTGACTTAGTATTATCTGGTTTTTTAGTTTTTGGGGAGAGCCTTGGAAAGCAATGCGACCAACTGTGGGGGTAAAAGACAAGCTCATGACAAATTACCACGCAAATCATCGAAGGTGGTGGAGAGCTCAGGCAAGTTTCTCATTCGTCAAATGGTAAGCTAATGATCTAGAATTAACGTATACAGGCACTTCGCTATCTCACACGATTTCCAAGTGAGTATCTGTGCAATCTTTTAAACAAAGAACGACATAGAGCCTTTGGGGAAGAAGTTGCAAAACTGGTGCTTAAAACCCTTGGCACTGAATGGCCGCGTGCAAGAAATGAGAGTAAGCGTAATCCCAGTAATCCCATGGAAGAACATGTGTGGAGTGACTATGGACCTTGGATGCCGCGGCCTCTGTTAAGCATTCATGTGAGACAGGGTGACAAAGCCAGCGAGATGAGAGTAGCCTCTTTTGACGAATACATGAAGCTCGCCAATGTCCTCCGGAAGAGATTTCCACACGTAAGAAATGTGTGGCTTTCCACGGAAATGCAGGTAAGAAAGCCATTGACAAAGATTTGAAATCACAAAGCTTTTGCATGGTTTAGAACGTCGTGGATGAATCCAAGGAGTACAAAGGCTGGAAGTTTTATTACAGTGATGTTCCAAGGCAAGTTGGAACGATCAGGATGGCGGAGTATATGGCGTTACTTGGAGACAAGCAAGGGTTCGACACGGCCTTTATAAACTTGGTCATGGCGGCCGAGTGTGATTTCTTTGTGGGAGTGTTGGGCTCGACTTGGAGCTATATAATTGACGACTTGAGGATGACCAGCGGCAAACTTAAGGCTGGCTTCCTCAGTGTTAACTCTATCAATGGCCTACTTCGAAAATAAAACTTTTTCTCTAACATACAGTAGTTCCAAGTGAAAGATATCTTGAAACATTTTAGGTTGGGCATGTCGAGTGAGTGGGGCATGGTTTCTTGCGCGTCCCGAGTCCTGGCAGGATCGAGTTTACGTTCTTGTCACAAGGCCGCGGCGTTTGCAGCAACTGTGAGTGAAGATTCACGTATCTTGTACTGCTCAGCTCCTGCTCGTGGCCACAATCAAGTGAGTAATAAGTTCTAGTTCGACCGATTTCCTGTTTTCACGAATATGAATCTGATTTCCAGGAGGGTCATCCGGAGAGCAATGCCAGAGTTCCCGCGATCCTACGCGAGCTGGATCGTGCTCAGCTTACTCCTGAGGTAAGAAACATAGTGTATTGTGCAGATATACAACATTTTTCACTCTTTGGCTTGAAATATATTTTTTTCCCTATAGAAGCGTGGAAAGGAGATTTCTCGGCTGACAAACTTTATGCCTGCCTCCAAGCAAGATGTTGCCGCAGTGCACTCCATGTCCTATGTCCATGGCCTGGAAAAGATAAGCTTCTTATACTTCTAGTCTGGGGCGATGAAAAAATGTTGATGTGGTGTTGTGTGGATACAGGCAATGGGGAAAGCCGCTGCGGATGGTCTCATCTTCATTGAAGGAAGTGGTCCAACTTACGCTACTTCCACGGTATGCTTCAATCCTTGAAAAGAAGTTCTAGAAGCTTTTAACAATGCCTGAAAGACGTACGAAGAATCCATGCTCGCAGCGGGTGGAAGCTTAGCTCTGGTCGACTCCCTGGTAATCCAAAGGCTCTTATAGAGCTTCGGATGCTTTTTCTCTTCGTTGTTTTGTGTTTGTAATTCTTTACTTTTTCCAGATGAGTGTGGCTGGTCCAAGGCCCCCAATTGGATTTGCTTTGATCCGACCTCCAGGCCACCACGCAGTCCCGGCAGGCCCCATGGGATTCTGCGTTTTCGGCAATGTGGCCATCGCAGCTAGGCACGCACAGCGCGCTCACGGCCTCAAGAGAGTTTTTATCATCGACTTTGATGTCCACCATGGCAATGGCACGCAGGACGCTTTCTACGACGACCCGGACGTCTTCTTCTGCTCTACACACCAGGCAAGCTGAATCACAAATCAATAAGAATGCTGACAGAGTTCACAGGATGGAAGCTATCCAGGAACAGGGAAAATGCGTCAGGTTGGCACAAGGGATGGCGAAGGAACCACGTTAAATCTGCCATTACCAGGTGGTTCTGGGCATGCAGCCATGCTTACTGCTCTCAAAGAAGTCATCGTTCCGAGCTGCCTCAAGTTTAAGCCCGATATTCTACTCGTTTCTGCCGGGTAAAAAACCTCTTGCTGTGACTTTTTCTCATTTGCAAATGTGTGTTTCATGTAGATATGACGCTCATGTTTTGGACCCTTTGGCCAGCCTTCAGTTCACCACTGCAACTTACTACCATTTGGCATCGACGATCAAGCAGCTTGCACGGGAGGTTTGCAACGGGAGGTGCGTGTTCTTTCTGGAAGGTGGCTACAACCTGGACGCTCTGTCGCTCAGTGTTGCTGACACATTTCGTGGCTTGCTGGATGACGAGGAGAGTCGCGCAAAACTGACGGATGATCCGGCTGTTTTGTATGAGGAGCCTCTTGTGGGAGTGAGGCGGGCAATTACCGAGATTAAGGCCATACATTCTCTATAATAAGTTTTTGATACACCTAAAACCCACCTAAAAATGATACACCCACACAGAATCTTGGAAAAAAGAGGTTTGCCATTTATTTTTATATAGTGGTTAAGTAGCTATGGATGCCTACAGTTTGTAATGTCTGTTAAAGGAATTCTCTTTGTAGCTGCCTTGACAAGTCTTTTGCTCCCTTTGATGCTTACTCGTGATCTAATTTTTCCATCCCAGCTTAAAGGTCGTCTAACAAGCTCATCGGTCCTGTATTCATCCTCAGAAGTGATACTCCAGCGTGTATCCGAAAATGGAACGAAAGAATGCCACAACATTACCACAAGAGCTGCTTACTTCTTTGGGCTTCCTATGCCGGGAAATGAAGGACCAATTACCATGTCCACTGGAGTCGTCCATAAGTTTTGGATTGTTTCGTATGCAGCAGATGGAAGGAGGAGGTGCACAGGAGGAGACTTCTATGAGACTGATCTCTCAGGTAAGTTCCATCTATTCCCAAAACAATATTTGATTCTTCATACTACATAGGCCACAAATGGAAGTCACGACCACCTATAACAGATTATGGGAATGGCTCTTACCTTGTGGAACTCAAAGTGGATAAAGGATTTGAAGGAAACTACACGCTCAAGGCCATTCTCTTGTATTCCAATTTTCATGGAATGGATAAGAACCCAGAACCATGGGCTCTGGAAACACAGGTGTTCCAACTGCAGATCCACTTCGTGAACAACAAAATTCAAAGGCCTTCGCCTCTTCCTCTTTGTACCAGCAAAAGCCTAAAGTCGGCAAAGACATGGCTAGGCAAATGGACAAGAATGAAGTTCGACGAGTCTTGCAAGCTCGATGAAGAAGGGCGCTACCGATGCCTGCCAGACGACGAGCAGTGTGACGACAGCCAGTGTAGTGGAGCACTAGAGAGATTGGAAAGCAACGGATGGGTCTACTCAGCACATTGTAAGTTTCGGATATGGAGCTTCAGCGATGCATGGAAGTGCCTGGACGGGAAGAAGCTGTTCTTCTGGGGTGACTCCAACCACAGGGACACAGTTCGAAACCTTGTCAACTTTGTCCTCGGCCATAACATTGAAATCCCGCTCATGACGCGCACATTTAC